AATTCTTCATTCCATTTTATAAAACGTTCCAATTTTTGTCCCAAATTAAGGACATGATTACGAATTGTTCCTCTTTTAAGCGTGAAAATAATTAATGTGACATAAATTGTCAACCGACGTGTGAAGACTTTTTATTTAAGCACTCAAATTATTCATAAAATACATTCAGAAAAATATAATTTTAAAAAATGAAATTGAATTTTATTTCTAGCTAAATTGGATTGAATTTTTGGCGTGCTAATGACTGCGAAATAGAAAAGAGAAATAAAGAAATAAAAATTTTAAAAAGACAACGGACGTAAAAGGGACAACAAAGCCAAGAACGAAAACAAAGAAATAAAGACGAGCGACTCACGTGAAAAGTGCAAGGAGACTCGAGGATAGGACTTACTCACAATCAGCAATCAAGGGAGTGGACATTAAATTGGCAACAAAGAGAACCGTCCATGACTCGACATATTCCTACATTCTCTTTTCCGTAATCGTGCATCCACATATAGGGTGTGTCCAGTTCGCCCTCTCGCGGGTTGCCCACCACCCATTGCGGGCGTGGGTGCGCAGTGACGTAACTAGCAAGTTCATAACTATCGTGTGGACCGAGATGATTTCAGACACAATGTTTCCGACGAAACTAACCGATTCTTGTATGATTACTTCTAACAAATATTTATATCTATGGGCATATCCAGAATTTTTTCGAAAGATTTATCAATTCTGTTAAATAAACAATAATTTTTGCATTAATAAATTGCTTTTTTCAATATCTTAAAGCTTAAAATATCTTCTTTTCATTTGTATGTGAAATATTAGGTTTTGTAAAAATCATAACTTTTTTTTTCTCCTGAAGACAGTACGTATATTAGCAAAATGTAGTAGGATAGAATTTTTAGGAGAAGAAATGTGAGGCTCAACCCAAATTTTGTGGACATGTCACCCTTTGTGAATATATCCATGTTTATACTCACTTAGTGAATGCAAGATTATTAATGGAAGAGAGATTTTTTATTAAAAAAGTTTTAGTTATAGAACTTATAGAAAATAAATTAACAATTAAATTAACATTAATTAACAATTTTTTAATAAGTGCCGAATCTAAAAAAAAAAGAAGTCCTTCATAGAATTTATTTTTAGTTTGGAGTAAAAAAAGATGAAGGACAACATCACACAGTGTTCCTAAGCGGTCACCCATCTAAGTACTAACCATGCTCAACGTCACTTGACTTCAGTGATCAGACGAGAACTGGTACTTTTGAACGTGATTTGGAAGTTGTCCGAGTATGAGAATTATTTGGCAACAGATAAATGATCACTTTAGATTAACATACATATAATAAAAAAATGTATGTACATATATATATGTACATAATGTTTCAAACTCGAACATCATCTGCAATAGCAATTTCCTAAAATAATTTTATGATAAGAATTTAATACATATAATGTCCAAACTAAATATTTTTTCTACATAATAAATATGAATAATTAGAAATATCAGTAATTTTATCTTTGCCTAAGTAATATTTATATCGATATGTATTAATAAAAAGCAATTTGTACCACATCTGAATGCGCAAATTTTAAATATAATTTGCTAATTTCAAATTATTATAATTCAAAAATTATACCCTTGAAACTATACCTAATGATGATACATTTTGTCATTAAAATTTTCGTCTCAAAATGACTTTAAGAATATTTGCCATTAACAGATGATGCGTCGAGTCTAAAACACTCTTATAAAATAAAATCATTAATCTCTAAACATCAATCTTCTTTAATCTATACTTTGGACGATAATTGAAAAAAACATGGACATAACAGATTTTTTGCTTCCCACCGAGTAAATAAAGTTTACATATTAAAATTGATCGGAACTGTCGAAAGGCAGGTGCAGTTTTTGAAAAAGAAGCGATAATTTCAGGGTTATGTGACGTGATGCGATATCACCGTTACGCAAAATCGAGTAATCGCAAAAAAGCCTTCTTTCCCACTCGTGTTTCTTTTTCAAGGTAGAAATCGTGTAACTTATTCTCTAGGACAAGATCATTGCCCCGACAACGCCATCGTTCAGACGACAAACTGCATAGATAAACCGCAATGTTTTTATTTCTATCAGAAAATCATCATTTTCTGTCTGCATCTCGTTCGAGACATAATGCATAAAACATTATTGATTATGCGCGAGTACTAGTCCTCGCCGTTTGTTCGTGAGTTGTTGCATGCAGAAATAAAAATTACAAAAAAAAAAAATAAAAAATAAAAACTTGAGGTTTTAAAATTCAGTAGAAAACTGGTTCAATAATTTAATAATAAATAAATAATATAAAAGGGTTACGAACCAAACTAAATGTTTTGTGCTAATAACTTTTTACTAATTTTTTACTTCGCCCTAAAAGTCTTTTACTTAAATATGTATTTTCTATAGACATTTAATGATATATTTTGTTGATTTATAATTCACATGGAATTTTTCCATTCATTCAGGCACGTTACTGACAATGAGAATGCTTTGCGTGTCGTGGATTGGCCACCCCTGCTAAACAATGAAATTGTAGTGCAATGACTCACAATAAGTGACGGCAGCTACTTATTGTCAGAGCCAGTTTCGAAAAGGCGTTATCAACCCATTAGACTTTACAACAAAGCAAAAACGTTTTCTCGATATTTTTAACGATGAATATCAAAAAGAATAAAAATTCTATTACCAATATATTTTCTTTATTACACTCTGAAAACATATTTGTGTGGATTTAACCACACGCGGTGTTTATGTAATTCTAACACCATGTTAGTATTAATATTAACATGATGTGAATTTATAACACCATAATGATGTGATATTAAATTAAGGGTTTCAAATTTACACCTTAATGGTGTTGATAATAAACTATAGATTTTAAATTCACTCCATGATGGTATTAATATAACAATTCAAATCCACATCATGATAATGTTGATATAACACGGTAAGAATTATACATTTATCTAAATATCGTATAATGTTAAACGGATATTTTTAGTGTAAATTTTTTGCTAAAAAATAATGCTTTAATTTTTAACTATAAAGTCTCGATTTTCTACTCGGATTTCACTCCAAAGTAAAAAAAAACTAGTTTTTCATCTCTAATTACGCGTGGACATCGACGTGACTTTCTTTACTTTGTCTCTAGAAACCGGAGTGACTTCGCGAAAGCACTCAATGTCAAATCCAGTGTCATTTTACTTTACTCCATGATGCTGCGCGACACCCATCTGCGGAGATAATCTAAAATTACACGTCGCGCCGAAGGTGAAGATCGAGGGGAGAAAAAATTTTATTTTTACCGACCCATATCATCTCGATGCGTCTGTCATCGTATAACCATCTTTTATTATCTCGCGTTCCACGGACGGTGATTTCACAGAAGGGCGCGAGGTGCGATTGCGAAAGTTCAGTTGGGAACGGCGCGGGAGTGCGTGCGGTATTCCTCTCCTTTTGTGTTACTCTTTCCTTCTTTCCATTTTTTTTCTTGCCAGTCGCAACCCGCAGGAACGCGCGAGCGGCGTTTCCCCGTCTTTCTCATTTTCTCTTTCTCTCTCGCTTCCTCTCGCACCGTCTGGCGTTTCGAGCGCGAAACAGCTGATAGAGCCGTCCCTTTAATCGCGTATCGCGTCGCCGAGTCGTCGCTCGTCGCGCGAGGTGAGTCGCTGGCCGACCACCGGGAGGATCTTGTCGTCTACGTGTCGCACGATCAGCGCAGGTGAGTATCTTGTCGTGGCATCCGATAGCGTCGCTCGCCGGCACGCGAGCTACCTTTTGTAGGTTAGGGAAGGTTTTCCGCCCGTCCGTCAAGCGTACGACGGACGCGGTACGGACAGACGAACGCTCGTAAACTCACAATGGTCGCCATCTTCGAAACGCAAAGTCGACTTTCGCGTGAGTAACTTAACCGGGTGTACTTTTGTAACGCTTTCTCGTTCTCGATATCGAGAGTACGAGACGACCTCATCGTCGAGATCGAAAGCGAAGATATCTCGTCGGAGTGAGGATTCCAGATGAAACGTATACATCAAGATCCTTTCTCTCCATCTTCCTTTGTCTGTTATTCTCTCTCGCTCTTTTCGCGATGGAACGCTCAAGTTGCCGGGAATCTCATCGACGCGAAGTATCCTTGGTAAAAAAATCCTTGGTAAAACTATCATAATGTCTCATAATATTTTTAAGAATTTGTCGTATTTTAAGTTTATGAAGATTTCTTAAAAAAGTGTCTTAAACTTTTTCAGAGTTTGCAAGTTTTCTTTGGAAATTATAGAGTGACGACTCTTAAAATATTTTGGAATTTATATGTATGAGAAAAGATTTTTAGACTTTCTCAGTATTTTAATTTGTATAAAAAATTATAAAATTATATAGAAATTTTTAAAAATTTTGTAAAACTATATGAATTTTAAGAAAAATTGTTACCACTCTGATGAAAAAAATTCTCATACTTCATGATTTTCAAAACTATTACATTTTAGATTTATAAAGATTTCTCAAAAAAATATCTTCAACTTTTTCAGAGTTTACAAGTTTTTTCAGAAATCACAGAATAAAAAAACCTAGAATAGATCTAGAAATCTTAGAATATTTCAAAATTCACATATATGAAGAATTCTAGAAAAAATTTAAACTTTTTGAGCAAACTTTCTGAAAAGTTTATTTTGTATATAAAATCTGAGAAATTTTCTTAGAAAAACTTATAAAATTGTATAAAAATTCTAAAAAATTCTGAAATTTACGTAAAAATACTGAAACATGAAGAATTTTGAGAAAAATTTTCATCAAGAATATTTTCATCGTTCGCTTTGCCAAAATTAAATTGATTTTCGTCGCGAATTTTCAGTCAATATAACCTTTTTTTATTTGTAAATTTAAATGCGATATCTCCAGTGTGTATGATATCTAAATTCTTGATGAGAAAGTCAGATATAGAACGTAGAACGCCATTCGAAATATTCAAATAACGCGCGCGATGCGCCGCCATGACGGCGAGTCGGAACGAGGAGAACGGCGGAACGATGGAACGGCGGAACAGTGAACGTGACATCATCAATGGCCGCCGCCGCGCGTGTTGTCTGTATACGCAACGAAGCGCGGCACTCTCGTAGGCTGTTGTAATAACTCACGCAAAGGACGCCGATATTTGATTTCGAAATACGGACCTGCGGTTGGACGTGTTCGAGACATGGGCTCAAAGAAGCACAAAAAGCACAAGCGCGAGAGGCACGAAGGTGAGGAACGAGTGGTAACGACGTGCCGCGACTTTCTCCAGTTGATTGAGATTCCCGGTTGTATCTCGCGACTTCGACGGTTTGCGATAATTTTCTTCTAGTTTCAAACTTCGAAACTTTTTTCTTTTCTAACGCCCGTTTAATCCGTCAATTATCGTCCGATAAAAAACTCTGTCGCCGGCCGTTCGTCTCGTTTCGACAAATAAACAGCCTGTATCACCAACGCAATGTCAAAATCTGTGTCAAATGGTGTATGCTCGTTTCTAGAGATCCTATATCAGAAACTGGCCACGAGTGATTTTGTCAAAAAGCTTTGCGAGAGAGAAAGGTATATATAATTTCTTTTTGTGTGTGTGTATATATACTATCTCGCTCCATGATCTTAAAGTAGTGAGTGAAACACAGTATAAGTTAGAATGAGACACATTGGCTGTGTTCAGCAGAAAAAGCAGCTTTGCAACTGTTGTAAAATTCTTTAATATAATTGATTTATATATTTAGATTCAGTAAGGAACTAAGGACAAAACCAATTATATTAAAGAATACATTTACACTTGCAAAGGTGCTTTTTCTGCTGAACGCAGTCATTGTATATACAGGGAGAAATTATATACTTTTTTTGGTAGAATTTTGACAAAATTATTTGTGGCCAGACTCTGTTATAAGGTCTCTAATTTCCAATGTAGATTAACTTTCAGTTCAACTTACTCTTCATCTTTTTTTCTAATTCTTATGTTCATTTTTAGCAATGTACTAGCTAATCTAAAAAGAAAAAGATATCGGTGTGGATTTAGTAACATAAGGTGTCCATGTAATTCCCACTAAATTAGTGTTAATATAACGAGATATAAGTTAATTTCGGTTTACTTTTTATCTTTAGTGCTTTCCTTTTAGGAAACACGATACAAGTTTTATCTTTGTTATGTAAACGAAATTTGTGCCGACTATGTCTCCTAAAAGGAAAGCAGCTTATCTCCAGGAAAAAGATAAATTATAGATTAAAGTTAATCTACATTAATAGATATGGACATAGAATAGAACGAAGAGTAAGTTGAATCGAAATTAAAATTAATCTACATGGAAACAAGCGTGATGAGGAAGCTCCATAGTGTAGCTTCCTCCATGCATAGAAATAGAATTAGACTTATAAGAATGTATGTTACTGCGGCATCATTACATCGCACCAAGCTAAGCTGTGTACTTTTATGTCAATCATCATTTAAAAAAAGGATTCGAATGAAAAGTGAGAATGCTTTGGGGCGATGGACCGTCAGTCTTTGCGTCTCAATTTGTAAGACGGTCCACACTCTTTCCAATTTTCATTGGGATCCTTCTCATACTCATAGTTTAATGATGCACAGGAATGTTGACTTCGTTTTCACCACGGACAAACTGAGAGTGAGGTTGGAGTAGAAGCGAGGTGGATACGAAAGTATAAACCGAGCGTTCCGCAGCAACAGGCGCGACGTGGAAGTAAGTGACGTGTAACAACGGACATGGACTGGTCGCACGACAGAAGCTAGCTGTGCTTCGAAAATTATCAAATGCCCCAAACCCTTTCTTTTTTTGTCTGTTGAACCCGTTGAAGTGCAACAAGATTCTACGATAAGAATTCCTCCTTGTGGCAAGGAAGTAGTATATGTTTAGATTACACACAAACACACAGACAAACCTGTTGCACTTCAATCGTATAATTCCCTTGGCTGTTATGTATCGTGGCATTAAGAGCCACATATGCTTCGCTTGACCTCCTAGCGAGGTATTTTCAATTTTAATGATTGCTCTCCCTGGTTATTCCCGCCGATTATTCGATTTGATATAATGATGAAGATTATTTTATAGCGTATATTAAGATTTGTTTGATTTATAAGTCGAGTTACTTCCATCTCGCTTCCAGTTTGTTGAATGTGAAAACAAGGTCATATGTCCTGTTAATAAAATCATTTTTACATCATCGTTGATACAATTCCTATCCTATGTGTTCTCCTTAATGACCATAGATTTTATATCTGTTCATCATTTGCACCTCCTTTCGGTATCTTCATGTCATGCAACATTTTCGACGTCATGTTTTTTTTTGTGTTACTATGTTGTATTTCGTCCTGCATAATCTTTCCGCAAAATGTCCTGATTGCTGCATGTGGCATATTTTTCAACGGATCATATATTTGGCTTTTAGAACAACAATTTTAGTACACTGCTTAAAAAGATATCATTTTAAATACTCAAAACGATAGCTAACTATATCTTTTTCTTTGACAGAAGGTCAATACACAACGACGGATAAGCCGCCTAGTCTGAAGTTAATCTTAAAGGTAGGAGGTAGTACTGGAACACCCGAGCACGGCAGCGAGTCGCCAAGTCAAACCACAATGCTTTCGCAACATTATCAACAACAATTGGGTCTTAACTATTCCGTTAGCCAAGGAGACGCAGAATATGACAGATATGTTGGTCACAAAAAACTCAAAAAGAAGAAGAAAAAGAAAGATAAACGACACAAACATCATCACAAAGACAAGAAAAGACGGAGAGAGGAATCAAGTCAAGAATCAGTTGGTGACGCCGATGAGAATCTGGTCGAGCCTGTACCTAAGAAGGCTTGTACCAATCACAATCAGTTGTTGCCACCCAGGCCGCCATCGGGTGGCGAATTGAGGATCGGTGTTGGTAACGTAAGCTCTCTATCGCCACATCGCGAGCCTAGAACATGCGTCCTCAGAAAGATAGCAGAACGCACGCCTCTCCAGAGGTTATTGGAGCATTTGTTGAGATCTATGGAAAAGCGGGATCCACAGCAATTTTTCGCCTGGCCAGTCACAGACAGCATCGCGCCTGGTTACTCTCAAATAATTACGAATCCGATGGATTTCAGCACAATAAAGCAAAAGATAGACGACAATAACTATCAGAATTTGCAAGAGTTCGTGGATGATTTCAAGCTCATGTGCGACAACGCCATGACGTATAATCATCCCGATACCATCTACTACAAGGCAGCAAAGAAATTGTTGCACGTTGGTTTGAAGATGGTCACTCCAGAGAAATTACGACAACTTAGGCCAGTCCTGATGTATATGAATGATATTACAAAGGAGGAGCTTGGATTTGAATTGGGCACCGAAGACCTTAATAATCCGAATGCTCCTGTGACAGAGGAACAAATAGAGCAGGAACGCGAACAGGAGGAACGTAATGAGGAGGCAGAAGAGCTTAGGAAAGAAAATCAAAGAAAAATGAGACTGGCTAGTTTAGGAAAGTTCGAGGCGATACCGGACGACTTAACGCCAGAAGAGATACTGAAACAGGCTAGAGGTGCGGCCAAAGCTGCGGCGGAGAAACTCAGTTTGAAGAGGGTCAACTCGAAAATGGGTTTCCTGCGGCAGAAGAAGGACGGTACCACCAGTCTGCAAATTATTGTACCCGGAGACGGGATTATTCCTGGGACCAATCAAAGACCTGTATCCCTAGGACAGTTGATAGGCAAATTGAATCATGGTACCGGAGCATTGGCTGGATTCCGGGAGGATCGAAGGAACATGTCAAAGCCAGTGAAACCTCTCTACTATGGTGCGTTCGGTTCATACGCACCTAGCTATGATTCGACGTTTGCGAATCTTACCAAGGAGGAAACCGACCTAGTCTATCAAACATATGGTGACGAGACTGCCGTGCAATACGCTGAATCTATCCTAGACTTTGCCAAGGACTGTGATTACACATTGACCATGGTTGATGACCTGTTGGACATTCTCACGGGTGGTGATCATCGGAAGACGAAGAAATTCATCGAGGAAAAGCGAAGACTGAGGGAAGAGGAGGAAAAGATCAAGAATTTATTGGAAAAACCGATGCAGGACGTGAATCGTAACATTCCCTTGCTGGATAAGGTCAAGGTTGATGTCGAACAACTGAAGACACTATCGGATCTCGGTATCGACATAAACTTCTTAGAAAATTTAGGTAATTATGATAGTAACGATGAAAATGATTGGTTTAGCATTATTTTAAGTAATTGAAAATATTATCGTTTCCTTATTCTTATCTCAAAATGTATCAAAAAAATATTTTGTTTCATAACGTTGTCGATTATAATTCAATAATTTCGAGATTAAAATTACTTCTCTTTCGTTATATAATTACTCGTTTTTTTCTATTTACAGAAGAGGATTTTAAATATAGCGAGGAACGTGCCGCTCTACAAAGTCGTCTTGACGACACATCGCAGATGCTGGGTCGGCTGAAGCAGGTTCAACACGAGCGTTTGTCAGCACCGCCACCAGCCCATCTCTCCAATGTTCCTAAGGCAGCGGACACGGAGGTGATGCTTGCCGAGAAGATCACAGACAATCTCACCGATATAGCAAAGAAACTGCCACCGTCAGGGATCGCGCCGGTCGACGGATTGCGTAGAGCTATGGGCATAGCACCTTTGGGCGGACCAGAGCCCATGGAAGTCGAGCCGATCACGCACAACCCCACTATAGTCACTGACGGTTCGTTACTGCCGAATCCGAGCAATGGCAGCAATCAGGTGCTGTCAAATCTATTGCCGACCCCCTCGCCAATTCAAAACGCGAATCTACTGAGTCCGACCGGCCAGCAAAATCAAAATATCAGTATTGTGGGCGCGAATCAGCCGCCATCGTCAATTCAGATGCAAATCGGTATGACGCACAGCAGTCAGACGCCGTCGTCTTTACTGAGCGCGTCAGAACCATCTGGCGTGGTGGCTGACCTCGAGTCTGAACTGCGCGAATTCCTCGAGAGCGATCCTACGCTAGGACACTCGCCTCTCCATGATGATAAAACTCTGGAAGACATTCTGTCTGAGTCTTAGTGCGAGCGCGGAATTCCGCAACTCCCCATAATTTATAAATAGGTAATAATTATAAATTTAATAAATAGATATAAATTATAAATATATTCTGAATCAGAATTCTGTAAATTTTATTATTGATACGCTACTTTTCGCATGTATGATTAATAAATCGGATCATATAGTTCTGTGTCTGATTTTAATCACTTTACTTTATTTCAAACCTATTCCACATTATCTTCAGTAAAAAATGCGAGAGAAACGTTTAAAGTGAAAGACACAAATGATGTTAAAGAGAATTTCACAATAAATGAAGTATTTCATGAATATATTAGTGATAATATCGCATATATCGTTCATTTGCTACAACAAAGCTCAAAAACAAGGCTTTCTAGAAAATAAATTTGAACATTTTGAATTACAAAAATTTGTAATATTAATTTTAGTGTGATAATTGATTGCAGAGGAATTTTCATTACGTTTCCATTTTTTTGTAAGCAAAAATAGAAAGTGACAATTTTTTAATTATGTCATAGAGATATACTTTTGATATGAGAGATAAAAGAACAAAAAAAATACTTAACGGAAAATATGTATAGATAATTTTTGATAACACTATATCATATTCTGTAAAGTATAAAATAATATAGTTTCATTTATCTTCATAGAGGTATATCTAAATATTATTCCGCGCACAGTAAGTTGCATTTGTTACGCGATGCTCGTAACATTGGAATGTAATTTACATATATCGATACTCGATACGAGGTACCACATTATCAAAACACAATGCCGGTCTCGTATACAGTATATATCGAAAGGCACATAAAGAAAATGCACAATGATGCTATCGATTACTGATAAGTGTATAGCCACTATCGCGTATTCTGTGTTCCAAAGCGTAATGGGAAGACGAGCGGCTATCGCAATGAGTTTTACTCGCGGTCGAAAATAAAATCAATCACGGCGTGCTCGAGGAAGCGGATAATGTTATGAAACATCTACGTTATATACCATGCAATAATGTACACATGACTACTCATATTCCGCGAACGTTTCAAGTTTCAAAGAGATTAATGCGCAAGTCAATTCGCAAGTCTCGAATTCCAAGCTTAGAAATTACAACCAGAAATACAGAAATATAGAAACTCTGAGACTTCCGTGAGGATCGAAGAGATTATAAGTTAAAATCATAACGGAGAACTTTCGCCCATGGGCTCCGTTCATTTTTATAGAAAAATATTTATTAAAAAAGCACGTGTCTTTGCATTTTCTTTAGTTTTAAACCCAGATGTCAATTTTAACCTTCCAAAACTGATACCAAAATCTACAGCATAATTATTGACGCTGGATCTGTTCTATTATAAATCCATTCAATTTATGATAATTCCTCACGAATTAATCTCAAGCAATCAAATTTAAATGACATGACTCACATGAAAAAAAGTAAATACTATTTTTAAAAAATATTTCAAATTTGCAGGTGACAAAATATTAATTTACGTATAACAAAAAAATTGAATTGTTTGACATGTTTAACGAGAGATTTTCTTGAATAGGTTCAATAGATCCCACTGTCATTAATGAACTCTGTTTCGAAGAGTTAATAAAAAAGCGTGACTTAGCATTTTTTTTCAGTTTTAAATGCTTTTTTCAAATGATAGATCTTAATTTTAATAGCACTAAATAAATAGCACATGATTGTATATAATTTTCTCTATTCTAATTTTAAAGTAAAAAAGATATTTTATTTCAACTACTTTGGAGAATAATCTGTAAAAGCACAAAAGACGAAACAGACTATATATGTATATGATAGCAATTGCAGTAATCCGTTTATATCAGACAATATCGTTTTAGCTGTTGTAGCCGACAATGCAATCACGTGCGTTTGCGTTTACGAGAAATGTGTAATTCCTTTCCCATAATCGTATTTCTGTACCGCGTGCTTGGTGAGTTGATTCTGATAGCGGGATTACGCAAATGCTAGAGTTTATTTTCGGAAATCAGGCAGAGCCCTTTGCGCCACGTGCTCTTTGAACTGAGTTTAATGACAAAAATAGCTTGCCGTGAAAGAGGCGTAATCACACCGACATCGCTGTCGGTATACCGCTGTCAAAGATAAATTGCAATGAATATTAATTAACCGTAAAACATTTCATACCACGTTCGCTGTATAAAGTGCAGATTTATATTTATCCTTTTCATATGGAAAGCGAGGAAGGAAGTGTTCGTTCTCTACGATCTGCAAATAATAATCGTCCAATTTTTAGTCAAAATCACAGTTTTATACGTATCTTTTCTTAAACGGAAAAAATAATGATCGATTTAGGGATCGAAGTCACTATAAATGCTTCGAAGCATTTGATTTACTAATTAAAAAAAAATATTTCGCTAATTAATCAATCAAAAAATGCTTCATAGTATTTGTAGCATCCAGAAATCGGTGGAATGCTGATGCGACTTATTTAAAATAAAAAATAGATTCCAGAAACTTCTTTCAAATATAAAATAAAAGATATGTATTTTATTTAATTTTTAGATAGTTAATAAGAAGGATAAAAAGTTATTTTAAATTTATTATTTTAAATAACTTCATCTGATCTGTTTCTTAACTATTAGTACACACTACACACCTTAGTTTTTAGCAACCTTACTACTTGGTTACCCTCGAAATTAATGCGACACTCGGAGCGATTCGTAAAACACGTCTATCTTGCTCCAAGGCCACCGAACAAATGCTTGCGAAAAACAAATGCCGAAGTGCTGACGTCAGCCGCGTCTCCCCTTTGCTGTTCGAGCTCCCCCTCGCATTTCACTGGTTGTCGTCGCGCCGTTCAGGTGTCTAATTATCGTGTATGAAAAATATTTAATTTATTCAATTTATTCTTTCTCTTATTTTACATTATTTTGATAAATAATTATCATTGTACATTTTACGCTTTTTCTTTGTAGCATTTCTGGCATTTATTCAATCGTATATTACTTGAGCGATTCTTTTAAACGTAATTAGTAATTATTTGCATGAGATATTTTTTCGATATTCCAACATTATTCTTTTTAATGATTCATACTTAAATGAAGGTTGATAAATATTCTATATATCCTTTTTCTATAAAGGATATATAGAATATTATCAACTTTCATTTACATGCAAATTTTCTTAAATCAGCAAAACTATTCGTGTAGATAAATAATTTATTTCAAATATAAAATCAGAGATATGTATTCCATTAAATTTTTAGATAGTTAAATCAGCAAATTCTATTCTTTTCGATGGGACCGCGAAATGAAGCGTAAAATGTGCGACCGATATTTCTGAAATTCTGTAATACCTACTGAAAGAAACGAATTACATCAGCTTGTTTTAATTAGAATACGTCGAATATCATGTAGCGACGGTTAGCCAACATATTTAATTTCGCACGACGTCGCAGTGCGTTATTGTAAACACGCGCGACCTTGTTTGAAAATTGAGACTCGAGCCGGCGGGCAACGGTCGAGCTACGTCTTTCGTGAAGTGCGTCACATATTATTATCCTGCGGAACGCGTGATAGTGATGATCGTGATGAGACGCGTAGGTACAACTCTCTACGAATTATTAAAAAATACTGGCTAATATGATCGATTCTTGATCACAATGGCGTAGTCTACGATGTGTGAAGTACGCCGTAAGAGTAAGAGCAAGAAATTCGATCGAATGTGAGGAAAATGATCGTCTCGTAACTCGTAAAAGCCACTCTGCTGTTTCGAGACGACACGGCGACTGGTCGTCGAAGTATGTATAAAGTAATTTGCA